CACGTGAGTTTAGAAGAGCGCCGTGTTCTTGATGTTTATCAGTGCTCTTGGTAAAGTCCTCAACAGCTGTTCTCTAACATGCAGTACAGCTGTTATCTACTGGGAAGAGACGGAAATCTACAAAACTGTGCCAGTCTTAAAGGAATAGTTCACCCAGAAATGAAAAATCTGTCCATATTTACTCACCCTCATGTCATGCCGAACCTGTGTGAGTTTTGTTCATCTTAAAAACACATATGAGGATATTTTTAAGGAAACCTGAGAGATTTCTGTAACCGTGCAACCAAAACTTTGATGCGTCAAAAAGTTTATAAAGACGTGTTAAAGACCTGTGAAGAGACATGATCGCTTTAAATGATGAACAGATTTAAAGGAATAGTTCACCCAAAAATTAGAATTTGTTGAAAATGTGCTCACCCTCAGTCCGTTTCTTCATCAGGTTTGGAGAAATGTAGCATTGCATCAGTGTCTCAGCAGTGGATGCTCTGCAGTGAATGGGTGCCGTCAGAATGAGAGTCCAAACAGCTGATAAAAACATCACAATAATCCACAAGTAATCCACAACACTCAGGTCCATCAGTTAACATCTGGAGAACATCATTCTTTAATTTACGCTTGTATTCACATATAAAAAAATGTATATACACACAAAAATGGAGCTCATCAAATATGGTAAATGAAAGCTTAAATGTTTTTTGACGCATGAGAACAAACCTCATTGGCCAACAAACCACTTTTACGATATGAACTTTTGAAAGCATCAAAGTTTTGGTTCGATAGACTTTAAATGGAGGGACCGAAATCTCTCAGGTTTCATTAAAAATGTCCTCATCTGTGTTTTGAATATGAACAGGGTCAGTGAACGATGACAGAATGTTCATTTTTTTTAGTAAGCTGTCCCTTTAAGAGGTATGTAAGCCGCCCATAACCTATGACATGCTAACATAAATGTTCAGCTGAATTCAGCCAGCAGTGTATTTTTGGTCCAGGTAATGGTTTTGGCAAAAACAACAGCGTTTTGATTTATTATAGCTGTCTCTGAATACTAACCTGGTTCTATTAGTAATGAGCCCCTTTGCTGTGTCCCATGCAGAAGTATCCAGAGAAGCTGTACTTCGAAGGTCTGGCAGAGCAGGTCAACCCTCCCATTCAGCTGCACTTACAGTACCTGCCCATCTACTTCGGTAACGTATGTCTGCGCTTCCTTCCTGTGTTCGACATCGTCATCCACCGCTTCCTGGAGCTGCTGCCTGTGTCCAAGTCTCTGGAGACGCTGCTCGATCACCTGGGGGGGCTCTACAAGTTCCATGGTGAGAGTCATGACAGGCACTGGGAATTAAAAGTGTTATTGTTTATATATTGAAATAGTTAAACTGAAATCAAACTTTTTACTGTTATCCTAAAACTGTGTACGTGCAGATCGTCCGGTGACGTACCTGTACAACACGCTGCACTATTACGAGAGACACCTGCGAGATCGCACCAACCTGAAGAGGAAGCTGGTGCACGCTATCATGAGCTCGCTCAAGGACAACCGCACGCCTGGCTGGTGTCTCAGCGAGACGTACCTGAAGTGTGCCATGAACCCCCGGGACGACAACGTCTGGATCCCCGACGACACGTACTACTGCAAACTCATCGGGCGGCTTGTGGATAATATCCTTAACTGAGCAACCACAGCCAGCGCTGTCACATCAGGGCATGGTGACTGCGTGAGCAGCACGAGGTGGCCTTAAACGAGAAAGAAAACTATGCACTGGCGAGTATATGAAACATAAAACTGCTATTTATAAATTCTAACAGTGCATGGTTATGAGAACACAATCGCAAAGGCTACA